GCAGTGTAAGTTTTAGCACGTGCAGTGTAAGTTTTAGCACGTGCAGTGTAAGTTTTAGGATGTGCGGGGTAAGTTTTAGGATGTCTAGTGTAAGTTTTAGGATGTGCGGTATAAGCTTTAGGAAGTGCAATGTCAGTTTTTGGATGTGCAGTGTAAGTCATCACGAAATCCTTTTTGTTTTCCTTCGAGCAGAAGTACCTCCGGCGCTTCTACAACCTGCCAGTGGGGCTCCAAGGCACACAAACATCTTCAAGTGATTTCCAGACCAAAATTAAGGAAATGCAAAGATTCTTCAACCTCGAGGTACATGAAAAACTAAATTTGTTAAATACATTTCCCCCTAGCAGCTATTTTTTGTTAAGTATACATAAAGAAACAAGAAAAGTCACTGAGACTTTTTGAAAATGTATCTTCTTTTGTGCTTTGATGCGACTTAAACTTACGGAAAACCGTTGTGTTCTTGTCTCTCCTGCTGAAGGTAACAGGGAAGCTCGACGACAATACTTTGAATGTGATGAAGGAGCCCAGATGTGGTGTGCAAGATGTTGGAGAGTACAACCACTTTCCTCGAGATCTCAAGTGGCAAACCAACACTGTCACGTTCAGGTGAGTTTAAGTCTGACAAACATAAACAACATGTCAGCATGCTTCTGAGAATATCTATTGGGTTCTAAATTATTCATGCAATATCTCTGCTTTTGTTCTCAATTATTCAGGATTATTAATTACACACCTGATCTGAAGAAGTCCGATGTGGACAGAGCCATCCGCACAGCGCTGAATGTTTGGTCTGAGGTCACCCCTTTGACGTTTAAAAAACTGTACGAGGGCAACGCTGATATAATGATCAGCTTTGGAACAAGAGGTTTGAAAATAAGCATACAAACAATTATTTTCTCAATAAAAGACACTGTGTTTAGCATTGAAAAGTAGACGGTGCCTGTATGAGTACCTGTCTGTCTTTAATCCTAAAGAACATGGAGACCACAACCCGTTTGACGGCCCAGACGGTCTGCTGGCTCACGCCTACCCTCCAGGCCAGGGCATCGGTGGAGACACTCACTTCGATGAGGACGAACACTGGACCAAAGATTCATCGAGTAGAAATTACTCTCAGTAATTCAACAAGCAGCTTTTTGACAACACATTTGTATAATTGAAAGCCATTTTTTCTTGTAGCGTACAACCTGTTCATAGTGGCAGCCCACGAGTTGGGCCACGCCCTGGGTATGTCCCATTCCTCTGACCCCGGTGCTTTGATGTACCCGGTTTACTCCTACGCCACCGGTTACCCTCTGTCTGTGGATGACATCAACGGCATCCAAGCTCTCTATGGTGAGCAGAGCAGATCTGTTTGGATCTCATTTTGATCATCTTTAATATTTAGTTTAATGGGTTTTAGCTCATTAATATTATATGTTAACTGTAGGTCCCAACCCAAACCAGAGGAAAGTGAAGCCTAAACCTGATGCGCCGAACAAATGTGACCCAATGTTGAGTTTTGATGCCGTCACAGAGCTGAGAGGAGAAACCATCATCTTCAAAGACGAGTAAAAACCTATATTTCTTAAGCAATAGCAGAGCTGTGGAAGCACAACGTGGTTGTCACAGTTTAGACCGATATCTAATTTTCAAACCCACCAATAACGCCCGGATCTTCTTGCAGGTTCTATTGGCGGCTTCATCCTCAAATGCCAGAACCTCAGCAGACCCTGATCAAGTCTACATGGCCCTCCCTCTCAAAGAAAGTGGATGCAGCTTATGAAAACCCAGAGAAAGACTTAGTCTTCATATTTAGTGGTGAGTTTGATACATTTTGTGGATTTTTTTTTTTTTTTTGTCTCAAACACTACAAACAGTGCAAATACAGTAAACATGTGTATTTTGTGTTTATACAGGGATTCGAATGTGGGCGTTGAATGGATACAACCTTGTGGATGGATACCCAAAGTACATCCACAAACTTGGCCTTCCTAAGACTGTGAGGAAAGTGGATGCAGCCGTGCACATTAGAGACACAGGGAAAACTCTGCTCTTCACTGAGGAAGACTACTGGAGGTGTGTCAGAGAAACAGCTCCAAGTTGTTGTTTTGAATTGGCAGAAGGTAAATTCCTAGTTGATCATAAATGCCTTGGGTTTTATCTTTTACTCGTAGCTACGATGAAGCAGCGGGCACTATGGACAGTGGATACCCACGATCCATCGAGAAAGACTTCCCAGGAATGGACGATGAAGTTGACGCTGCTGCTTTCCACCACGGTACGATGAAACAGACCAAACTTAACACAACTAGATAATACCCAGATTGTCCATGAGGATCTGTTGGCAGCTGTGTGGTGGTCTATTACAGTAGCATTGCATGTAAACAAGATCCAAACTGTTTTTACAGACTAACCTTGACCTCGTGGTTTAAATTAAACGTGCACGTTTTCTCTGAGCCTAGAACAGACAAACCAAATAACTTAGAGAGAGAGGTCTTTATGTCCACCGTCACGGAGCGAAGGAAGGAAATGGAAATACAGTAGTCCCTCATAAATCGTGGGGGATCCGTACCATGAAGACTCGCGATAAGTGAAAAACTGTGAAGTAGGAATAGTAGTACAAGTAGTAAGTAGTATTTTATTTTATTATAATATATGTATATATATATATATATATATATATATATATATATATATATATATAT